GAGAACCTCAATTGAAAAAATGCTTCCATAAGATCCAGCTATAAGGCATTTTCTTAATTAGTGATTATATTGACATGGGAGTGCCCAGCCCATTGTGGATGCTGCCATCCCTGAGCTGGTGGTCCTGGGTTCTATACAAAACAAGCTACTCTGGCATTGTAATGCACATCTTTAATCCCAGAACTTGGGAGGCAGAGGCAGGTAGATCTCTGTGAATTGAAGGCCATCTGGTCTACAGAGTGAGTTCTAGGACAACCAGGGATACATAGTAAGACCTTGTCTCAAAACAACAACAAGCAAAAACAAAAAAGAAAGCAAGCTGAGCAAGCCATGAGGAGCAAGCCAGTAAGCAGCAGTCCTCAGTGGCCTCCACATCAGCTTCTGCCTCCAGGTTCTTGCTTTGTTTGAGTTTCTGCCTAGACTTCCCTCAATGATGGATCTATGATCTGAAAGTAAGAAGAGATAAACTCTTGCCTCCTGAGTTTGGTGTTGGTGTCCCATCACAGCAATAGTAACCCCAAGTAGGATACTATTCAATCTGAGTCCCCTAGGAAACATACCAGGACACTGTTTTTATTTTATTCTTTTAAGACAGTGTCTTATAAATCCTAGGTTGGCCTTGAACTGAACACGTAACTAAGAAGATAATGATCTTGAAGTGCCGTTCTTTTCACCTTTCCTTCCCAAGTATGAGACTGTGCCCAGTCACATGACACTGTGGAACATTCCTTTACACTGTGTGGATGTACGTCGCTATGACTGGCTTAATAAACAAGCTGACCAGCCCGTAGCTGAACAGGATAAGGTTAGGTGGGACAGCCCAGCAAACTGAGAACGCTGGCAGGAAGAGAGGCAGAGTTGGGAGTCGCCAGCAGGCACAGGGAGAAGCAAGATGAGCAAGGTACCAAGTCACGTGGTAAGATAAGAAATATGGGTTAATTTAAATGTAAGACTTAGCTAGTAACAAGCTCAGCTGTTGGCGGAGCATTTACATCAATATTAAGTTTCTAAGTGGTTATTTGGGAGGGACTGCTGGCTCAGGAAAACTCCACCTCCGTGGTTCTGTATTGAACCCAGGGCTTTATGCTCGCTAGAAGAACTCTACCAACTGAGCTGCATCCCTAGCCCCTGAACGCTGTATTTCTTCTACCCTGTGACACGCTTCATATTTCAGGGTCTTGCAGCAGTGATGCAGAGGTCAAGTGTATTCCCAGTGCACCTACAGAGATGAAGAGAAAAGGTGAGGACGCAGAGCTACGAAGAGGAGGGAAGTGCCGGACTGTGATGTTGCTTTGGTGCACCTGGTGTATGCCGTATAGTCCTAGCATCTAGGACGGGGAGGATCAGGAGCTCACGGTTATCTTCTGTTACACAGTGAGTCTGGAGCTGGCCGGGGATTTGTGAGATCTGTCTCAAAAGAAAGAAAAAGGTGCCAGGCAATGGTGGCGCGTGCCTTTAATCAAAGCACACGAGGAGAAAAGGTAGGCACATCTCTGAGTTCGAGGCCAGCATGGTCTACAGAGTGAGTACAGGAGCCAGAGCTTCACAAAGAAACCATGTCTCAAAAAACCAAAACCTAAAAAATTTTAAAATGAAAGGAGAAGGGAGAAAAGGAAAGAATAAAGAAAAAAGTGAAATAAATAAATAAGGAATGAAAATGGAGCTGGTGAGATGGCTCAGTGGGTAAGGGTTCTTGCTACCTAGCCTGATGGCTGGAGGATCCCCAGAATCCATGTGATAGGAGAGAATTCCCAAAACCACTCTGACTCCTATAGATAGCACTGTAGCATTCACACGCATGCACACGCGCGCGCGCGCACACACACACACACTAAACAAATGTTAAAGGAAAGAAAAGGCTGTAGCTGGGTGTGGAGGCTCAGCCCACCACTGCAGTACCCAGACAGCTAAGGCAGAAGGACCAGAGCCAGGGTACCTGAGATGCTGTCTCAAGAACAGTGGGCAGAGAAAACACAAAGGCTTGGACTCTAGCAAAAGAGCCAGAGCAGGGCTGGAGGGATGGTTCAGTGGTTAAGAGCACTGGCTGCTCTTCCAGAGGTCCTGAGTTCAATTCCCAGCAAACACATGGTGGCTCACAGCCGTCCGTAATGAGGTCTGGTGCCCTCTTCTGGCCTGCAGGCACACATGCAGGTAGAATACATTATACACATGCAGGTAGAATACATTATACATGATAAGAAGAAGAAAAGGAAAAAAAAAAAAAAAAAAGAGCCAAAGAGCCAGGAATGGCCACAATCTATGGGTCTGTCTTGAAAGTTGGACACTGGATGTGAGCTCACTGATGGGCTTCATTTAGGACATATGCTGTGTTTCTCTGGAGCATTATAAGGTTTCAGAAGTCTACAGATGTGCAGCTGGCTTAGGGTGCTTCCAGCCTTTGGTTGGGGGAGGGGTGTGACTGTCACCTTACAAAAGCCAGAACCACCAAGGAGAAAAAGCTTGTTTCTGAAGCTTCCCCCTCAGTGTACACTGCTGGTCCTTGTCTAACCATTTCTTTTATGGTACCAGGCAGGAGCGACTAACCACATAGATATGTTAAAGACCCCTTGAAATGGTCTTATACTGGCAAGGGCCAGATACACTAAAGTCCATTGAGGTCGTCGCCTCATCATAAAGGCTACCAGGAAGGATTAGGGTTTTTACAATCTTTATTAAGACAAGATTTACTAAGTGCTCCTCCCCAATACAAAAAGTGTTTACTCTTTTTTCTTTTTAAAGTGTGTGTGTATGTGTACAGCTTGAGAGAGTTGGTTTTCTCCTCCCACAGTGTGGGTCCCAAGTGCCTTTGCCCTCGGAGCCGTATTGTCAGCCCTGAGGTGCTTATTCATATAAAACAATTTAGCTCCCTGCATTCCATGATTATCTGAAACGCAGTCAGCCCTGAACACAGCTAGGAGAACACTAATTAAGTAATCCAAGTGAAGCTGCCTCAAAATGGAAAAGTGAGCCTTGACAGTGACTGGAAGAAAACTTAATGACCTGTCATTGGCCAATTCTGTTTTCCAGGAGTTCTGTTCATCATCTTCCCAGTTTGTTGTCATGAAGCTGTCCTTAATCCCGACATCGCTTAGGCTGATTGGCATAGTGGGTTTGAGACAGCAAAGGGGAAGTGAGGATTTGAACCTAAGAAAGCCGTACCCACCTCAACCCTGAAATGCAGATGAGGCGGGGGTGGGGGGGGTGGAGTGGCGTTGTGTAGGCTCGCGCTGGGGCTGTGGGTGGGATTAGCTGCCCATTTGTCTGCAAACTGCTTTCTCCTCCTCCGTGTTCCCCACCATGCGGCAGGTGTGGCCCAGGGAACCTGGGGACGGGACTCCCCCTGGAGTGGATGGCAGTGGCAGGGGGTGGACTATGAAAAACAGTTTTGTCTGGGAACAAAAGGCATCAATCAAGGCAGTGCCTGCAGCCTTTGATTTGGATGAGAAGGGGGAAGGCAGCCCCAGCTTCCTTCAGGTCATCTCCCTTTTCAAACGGATTAACCGGCCAGTTAATAGGAAAGGATCCTGCCTGTGCAGAGGTCTGCAGGCCTGTGTTGATGAAGTCGCTCGTGTCTGTATCTACTATTGCCACGGAACCACTTCTAGAAGACAGCTTTTCTGTGGGCCTGAAAGTCCCTGGACGTGCTATTCTCCAAAGGCACAAAGTAAGCCCGGATGTTCATGGCAGTGAAGGGACCAACAGGAAGAGACCCAAGAGAAGAGCTGAGGTCCCAGACATGGAGCAGGGACCTGGGTCATGTCCAAGCCAAAGCTCAGTCTAAATATTCCAACAAAGAGCTGAGTGCGCAAGAGTAGGGTCAGTAAACTTCCTAAATCGTACTTGACAATTTCAGTCAAGTTGCTCTATGGTATGTATGTTCCAAGCTGTGGTAGGAGGATCATTAGTTCAAGGCTGGTCTGAACAGCTTAGCGAGACCCTGTCTAAAAAAAACAAAAGAAGAACTAGGCTCTAGGTCATGGATAGCAAGAGCATTAGGGTAGCAAGGGCCAAGCCCTAGGTCCCGTGACCAGAGCTGCAAAATAATAATTAATAATAATAACACAAAGAAGGAAAGGAGGAAAAGAAATTGAAAAATGAAGAAAAGGCCAGATGTGGTATTACACACCTTTCTTCCCATCACTCAGCTGGGTTCATGGGCAACTTATTTGTACTTGTACCTTGAAGAAAAATAGTTTCCCCTCCTGAAGTAGGCATTAACCGACAGCAGCTGCTATGTAGTTCACAATCCTCCCTCCTCCTCCAAAGTACCAGGGGTACAGACACAAGCTGAAGCATTCTGCTCCCCCGCCACCACTTAATTTATAATGGGGGCGGGGAGGATTTCGAAACAGGGTTTCTCCACATAGCCCTGGCTGCCTGCCATGGAACTTGCTTTGTAAACCAAGCTGACCTCAAACTCACAGCAATCCACCTGCCTCTGCCTCCCAAGTGCTGGGATTAAAGGCGTGCACCACAACCTGCTGGCTTTTTTCTTTTTCTTTTTCTTTTAACATTTACTTATTTATCATGTATTTTGGAGGGGGAGGAGTATATGCAAGAGGACAATCTGCAGGAGTTGGCTCTTTCCTTCCAAGGTGTGGCTCTCAGGGATCAAAGCGAAGTTGTCAGAGTTGGTGGCAACACTCTTCCTTACCCCAGACCATCTCGTGGACCCCAAATCCCATAGAGTAGGATCCATAGTGTCATGCTGCAACCCCAGCACACAAAAGACGGAGACAGGAGATCACTGCAAATTATCCCAGGCTGAGCTATCAAGATTCTACTTTAAAAAATAGGTAAGGGGTGGGAGGGAATAAAAGTGCTTGTCACACAAGCCTGGTGACTTAATTCAATCCCTAGAACCTATGTAACGGTGGTAGGAGAGAAGCAACTCCACAGAGCTGCCCTCTGACCCACATGCACACCACACACATACTCAGAATAAATGAAAATGTTGAAAAATAGTAAGTGAAAAGCAGCTTTGTTATTTAGCTCCATGGTAGATGCTGGCTGTGGCACATGAGACCCTGGGTTCAATCCCTAGTCCTGTCAAAGAACAAAACAAAATTACAGATTAAGTGGTGGTTAATCCTAACACTCAGGAGGCAGAGGCAAGTGGATGGATCTCTGTGGTTTCACAGCCAGCCTAGTTCCAGACAGCCAGGGCTACATAAAGAAACCCTGTCTCGAAACAAACAAAAAAGCAAAACGAACAAAGAAAGAAAAATGTAATAAATAAAATAACAATAATATAGAAAAAGAAAAAAATCTCTGGTGCATACTAAAGGATTGGAAGCTAGTCCGGGCTACATAGTAAGACCCAGTCTCACAAAAACCAAAACAAAACAAAACAAAAACCTTTTTGGAAGATGATTAAGGTCTAAGATTTGTTTGGATAGGGACTAGCTAGATGGCGCATCAGGGTTTGAAAAAAGCACTTGCCACACAAACCTGAAAAGTTCAGTTCAAACCCTAAGACCCTTGGAAGGAGAGAGCAGGGTCCACAAAATGGTCCTAATAAGAATATACTTTAAAAATACTTCCTTCAGCTATAACTAAGTATTACTACTATGTGCTGTTCTTGGATGATCTTGGGTAATAACTGAAAATTGTTAGGGTAAAAATAAGCCCACAGGAGAACACCATATTTTTGCATATAATGCAGTTTTAAGAGGGATTGACCGACATCATCACTCTTGGAGGCAAACCCCACATCTGCTGAACCATCCTTTTTTTTTTTTTTTTTTTCCCTTGAGACAGGCTTTCTCTGTGTATCTTTGTAAAACAATCTGGCCTCGAACTCAGAGATCTGCCTGCCTCTGCCTCCTGAGTGCTGGGATTAAAGGCATACACCACTACCGCCTGGCCTTTTTTACTTATTTTTGAGACAGAATTTCAGTGAATTGCCCAGGCTGGCCTTAACTTACTTAAAGTTCTTTTTGTTTTTATTCTTTAAATTTTTAATTATTCATTTTATTTTATGTGTGTGCTGTCTGCATGTATGTATGTGTTCCATGTGCATTCCTGGTACCCATGGTAGTTAGTTAGAAGTGGGCATTAGATCCTCTGGAACTGGAGTTACAGATGGTTATAAACTAACTACCATGTGGGTGCTTTTAGATTTGGGTCCTCTGCAAGAGCAACAAGTGTTCTTTTTTTTTTTTTTTTTTTTTAGATTTATTTATTGTGTTTACAATGCTCTGCTTACATGTCTGCTTCAACACCAGAAGAGGGCACTAGACCCAATTACAGATAGCTGTGAGCCACCATGTGGTTGCTGGGAATTGAACTCAAGACCTTTGGAAGAGTAACCAGTGCTCTTAACCTCTGAGCCATCTCTCCAGCCCGCAACAAGTGTTCTTAACCAGGGAGCCATCTCTCCAGTCTCAGTTTTGTTTTTTGAGGCTGAAAATGACCTTTAACCCCAAATCCTCTTATATCTACCTCCCAGATCCTGGGATTACAGACATGCACCACCTTGCCTTGTATTACATGGTGCTGGGAATGGAGCCCAGTACTTCATAAATGCTAGGCAATTCTACCAACTGAACCACATGCCCAGCCCTGACCTTGATCTTTTGATATTTCCACCTCAGCATCCCAAGGAGCTGGGACTACAGGTCTGCTCTACCGTGAGGGATGCACATGGGTGCCATGGCACATGTGTGGGGTCAGAGGACAAATTTGTGGACTCTTCTAACTTTACATCACTTTATGATAGAACTCGGGTTGCCAGGCTCACACAGCAGGATCTTTAGCTACTGAGTCATATCTTCCACTTTTTTTTGTTTTTTAAAGACAGAGTCTCACTGTGCAGCCCCAATGGACCTAAAACTTGGGTCCTACTGGAGAAATCCAATGTCCTGTTTTCATAGGTGTGAGACAATATGCCAGGCTCCTGCATCTGTTATGTTGTTGTCGTTTTCTCCTACGTGTGTGTGTGTGTGTGTGTGTACACATATGTGTGTATACATGTATATATATGGACTGGAGAGATGACTCTGCAGTTAAGAGCACTTGCTGTTCTTTCAGAGGACCCAGGTTTACAACTGTAGCTCTGGTTTTAGGGAATCTGATACCTCTTCTGGCCTTCACAGGCACTGTACTCACATGGTATACAACTACACACACAGGCAAATATTCACACTAGGAACAAATAAGTAGCAAAGTGTTTTAAAAATATTTTAGGGCTGAAGAGATGGCTTAGTGTTGAAGAATGAATATGCTCTTGCAGAAGACCCAACATTCATGTCAGATGACTTAATAGCTACCTGTAACTCCAGCTCCACAGGATTCAATGCCTCTGGCCTCCTTAGGTTTCTGCACTCACAGGCAGACATATTACCCACAAAGAGACACATAAATGTTTTTAATGTAAAGAAAAGATAGTTTATTACACATGCAGTTACTTAAACCATTAGGAAAGAGGCATGTTTTGAGAAGTAGATGCACAGCTTTTTACAGTGAGAGAACTCACCACTTGTCTTACAGAGTACACTAAGACTCCTCTTCTGCTATTGGAAAATGACAAAGTTTAGGTTTGTTGGGATTATTTTTCAGCAGCCAATCAGCTAGCCAACTCTATGGAAAAGAAAACTAAAATTAATAAACATTTAACTATTTTCTGTGTATAATGAACTTATCAACTAGATAATTAAGTTATCTTTCTAGAAAAGATTTTTGATACAGGATCTCACAGCCTAGGCTGTCTGGAATTTACTCTGTAGACCAGGCTGGCCTAGAGCTCCTAAAGATCCCCAACTGCCTCTGCTGCCTGAATGCTGAGATTAAAGGTGTGTACCATCACATCTGGCTAAACAGCTTATTTGTTTGTTTTGTTTTTTGTTTTTTTAAGACAGGATTTCTCTGTGTAGCCCTGGCTATCTTAGAACTCACTCTGTAGACCAGGCTGGGCTCGAACTGAAAGATCTGCCTACAATTAAAGGTGTATGCCACCACTGCCCTGCCCCAGTTTAGGGGGATCTTTACTATCCTGAAAGTTGACAAGATACTACATATAAAGAGATGATAGCCTCCAGTGGCAATGGTGTTATTGGAGTTTAGTGGAGGCGGGGTTCAGACCACATTACTAGCCCACCTTCAGGGGGGTTGAAGAGTGTGAACCCAGGGTAGATGCTGAACTAAAAGAGGAGAAAGCAGAGCAAGGGCAACAGGAAGGAGTGTCATTGCATTCGGACCCAGAGACTGTAGTAATCATAACAGAAAACTCAAGCTTTTAAGTTTTGTGGCCAACCTGGATAATACTAATAAAAAAGACATATGCAGCCAGGTGGTGGTGGCACACGCCTTTAATCCCAGCACCTGGGAAGCAGAAACAGGGGGAATCTCTGTGAGTTTGAGTCCAGCCTAGTCTACAAAGCAAGTTCCAGGACAGATTCCAAAACTACACAGATAAACCCTGTCTCAAAAAACCAACACCCCACAAAGAAACATATGAAACTGATATTTTTGCAACATAAAAAAATCATTCTTCTCTTGATTGCAAAAATGAGTAAGAGTGTAGGCTTCAGCTGGGCTGTGTCACATGCCTTTAATTCCAGCACTCAGGAGACAGAGAAGGTGAATTTTTGTGAGTTTTAAGCTAGCCTGGTCTACTGGTCTACACTGCCTGGCTGCTATACAGCTTTTAAAACCACTTTAAGAATAAAAATAATAGCTGAATATGGTGTAAGTTTTGGGCCAGCATGGTTTACAGAGTGAGTTCCCGGAGAGCCAGGAGTACCCAGAGAAACACTGTCTCCAAACAAAACAAAAAGAAAAAGAATAAAAATAAAGGTCCTCCAGACACACAAAAACAATACATTTAAATAACAAAGAAATGTAATTAAATATTTAAGAGCTGGGTGGTGGTTCAGGCTTTTAATTGAAGCTCAAGGGAGGCAGAGGTAGGCAGATCCTTATGAGTTTGAGGCTAGCCTGGTTTACAGAGCTAGTTCCAGGACAGAGCTAGAGCTAGACAGAAAATCCCAGTCTCAAACAAAACAAAACAAAACAAACAAATTCAAGATCTGGGGATTGGTGTAGGCGATTGCCTATTTGCTGTTTGGTCCCCAGCACCTGATAAGCTGGGAGAGGTGGCACATATCTGTAATCCTGGTGCTCAGGAGGTAGAAGCAGGAAGATCTGGAGTTTAAAGTCATCCTTGGCTACACAGATAGTCTGAGACCAGCTCAGGCCACGGGGAATCTTCTCTCACAATACAAACAAAATAAACAATGACAATCATAGTAAATGGAGAGCCAGGGAAGGGGAAATGGCTTGGCAGGTAAAGGTACACCCCACCAAGCCTGGAGGCCTGAGTGAGACTGAGGAGGCCCATGGCAGAAGGAGAGGGACCTCTCTGACCTCCATGCTCGTGCTATAGCACACATACAAGAAAGTAATAAATAGTAAGTGTAATTGTCACAGCACTTTAATGCAAGGTGAAAGGTTCTCGGGGCTGATCCTCCCTAGGGAATCCTAGGAAGTTAACAGCTGCTGGAGAGCTGACATTTTCTTCAGCAATGCAGCCGCCTGTGAGGTGCCTGGGCACATATCCTCACCAGTGTCCCTGTAAATGACCCTAAAGGAGCTCAGGCCAAAGAAACAGAAAGGCATGGAAGCAGTAAAGGGGCTGATTGGGAAGAGGAAGTGGGGGTAGCAAGAAGAGACAGGGGTAATTAATGGCAGGTAAAGCAGGTGTACACATGTGCCACCAAAACACATCATCTGCTAGTAAGTTACAAGTCAGCAAGGGCTAGACAGAGGGGCCTTGTCTAAAAAAACAACATTCAAGGCCAGCCTGATCTACATAATAAGTTCTAGGGCAGCCTGGGCTTCATAGTGAGACTCTGTCCCCCACCCCAACAAACAAACAAACAAAAAAACCCTCCAACAAAACCAATAAGTAAAAAAGAAAATCACCCAGTATTATGTACATTTATGAAAATGCATATGGAACTTATTATGTATAATTATTATATGCTAATAAAAACAATAAAGGAATAACAAAGTGGGGTCCCAGGATGGAACTCAGCTCATGAGGCTTGCATAGTAAGTGCTTTACCAATCTGTCACCAACCACCCAGCTCCCTCCCCCGTCTTTATTTTGTGTGTGTGTGTGTGTGTGTGTGTGTGTGTGTGTGTTTGTGTCTCTAGGTGTGTGTTTGTGTCTCTGGGTATGTGTTTGTGTGTATGTGTGTGTATGTGTGAGTGTATGTCTGTGTGTGTGTGTGTGTGAGTATATGTCTATGTGTGTGTGTTTGTGTCTCTGTGTGTGTGTGTGTATGTGTCTCTGGGTGTGTGTCTGTGTGTGTGGGGGTGAGTGTGAGTGTATGTCTTTGTGTATGTGAGTGTGTGTGTATGTCTGTGTGTGTGTGTATGTGTCTCTGGGTGGTGTGTTTGTGTCTGTGTGTGAGTATGTGTGTGTACATCTCTGTGTGTGTGTGTATGTGTCTCTGGGTGGTGTGTTTGTGTCTGTGTGTGTGTGTGTATATGTATCTCTGTATGTGTGTATCTGTGTCTGTGTCTATTTTGGGGTTTTGGATTTTTGTTTTTGTTTTTGAGATAGTGTCTCACTCTATAACCCTGGCTGGAGTGGAACCACTACATAGACCAGACCAGCCTTGAATTCACAGAGCTCTGCCTGCTTCTACCTCCCAAGTACTAAGAGTAAAGGCATGTGTCACTATGATTAGATCACTTTTGAAATTTTTTATTTTGAGACAAAGTCTCACTAAATTGTCCTGCTTGGTGGCCACAGAGTCAATACATAGACCAAGAAAGCCTCAGACCTTGTTGAGTCTTCAGACTAAAAGAATAAGTATTAGCTGAACATGGTGGTGCCATCTCTAATCCTGGCACTCAGGAGGGCAAGGAGATCTTTGTGAGTTTAAAGCCAGCTTGGTTTAGGACAGCCAAGACTACATAATGAGACCCTGTCTCAAAAACAAGCAAATACAAATACAGTTTTACACAAGAAAACAATAAACAATATTCTCTAATGTTAATAAAACAGTATCTTACAAAAGGGTCTGCCGGTTTCTGCTTACAAAGCTCTGTGAGTCCTTGAAGTAGGGTTGGCGTTACATACAAGTTTAAATAGTCCTTAGCAGCTTGTCCAATTGGAATGGGTTCGATAATCACTGCAAGTACAAATAAGTTTTCACTAAAAAGCAAATATCCATGATTAAACATTATGTAGCTACTTAAAAGGATGCCTTCAGGAGTTTTGAACTGTTGTGAGACACTCATGTCATCATGAATTTTAAATTTGATTTTTATTTCTTTATATTAACTAAAGTGTTATAATTGTTATTATTATTGACTTTCTCATAGAGTCTCACCATAGTCCAGGCTGACCTGAACTTAGTAGGTAGCCTAGGCTGGCATCAAACCCAAGGTGATCTTCCTGCTTGGCCACCTGTGGTTACAGGTGTGAGCCACTACACTCTACCTATACTGAAGCATTATTTACACACAGTACTTGCTGAATTTGTGATCACACCAAGAAATAAATATAATTTTAATAAGAAATAACAAAATAACAATAACTACCATACACAAAAGAACTACAGCAAAACCAACCCAACCCTCATGACCACTCAGGGTGCTGAGAGTGATGGATCAAAGCAAGGCTTACCTGTGGACAATTTACTGAGACCTCGCCTTGGACCAGAAAGCCAGGCTGCAGTACATACCTGAAGTCCCTGAACTCAGAGGGTGGAGGCAGGACGATCAGGAGTTCAAGGCTAGCATGAGACACACAGGCCTGTCTCAAAATAAATTCTGGGCTGAAGGAATGGCTCAATGGTTCAGGTCAATTTTTCTTCCAGAGAACCCAAATTCAAATCTCAGCACCTACATCAGGGGCTCACAGCTGTCTGTGATTCTAACTCCAGGGCATCCAGTGCCTTCTTCTGGCCTCTAATGACATCTGCACACATGTGGCACACACTCACTCAGACACAAACAAAAATAAAATAAATCTTGAAAATAAATAGTTAAATAAAGGGCTGAGGACTTAGCAGCTTACAGGCAAAATTTGCTTGTTTTGAAGTTCTAGGTTCACCCCCAGTTCTTAAAAGACAGTATGCCCACTTCTCCGCTACTGCTTTTTCTTTTCTTGCTTTTTTGAGACAGGGTTTCTCTGTGTAGCCCTGGCTGTCCTGGAACTCACTCTGTAGACCAGGCATGCCCTGCATGGGTGCCCATAAAGATGGCTGCACTCCATCTTGGCACAAGGGCAGAGAGTTCAAAGGTGTCAGCAAGTCATGAGACCTAAAGGTCAAAGGTGTGGGTGGCTACAGAAGGATATTTTGGCTGTCTTCCTCTAAATAACAACAGACCTGAATCTGAGGTGTGGCTACTACTGACCTCAAGGCTAGGGAACAAGAAGTTGGAGCTAAAGTGTGGTTACTGAACCCTCAGAATAAGTGAGGAAGAAAAGTCTGTATGTTCCATACACATGATACTGTGTTCCACTTTTTGGTTATGGTATATAAGAGTGGTGAAAAATAAACTCATGGCATTTCAGTATTGACTGATCTGCCCTGCTGACCTTTATTCTCTCTCTCTCTCCCCTCTCCCTCTCCCTCCCCCTCCCCCTCCCCCCTCTCTCTCTCATCATTTCCCTCATCCACACTCCCCCATCCAGGTACGGACTTGGGGCCCCTCGCCTGGCTCTGATTACAGCAGCACAAAGACCGCTCCCAACACCTGGAACTCACAGAGATCCACCTGGCTCTGACTCCCGAGTGCTGGGACTAAAGGCGTGTCCCACCAACGCCGGGCTGATAAAAACAAACTTTAAGAGGTGAACAATTTGGAGGTGTGTCAAGAAAGCAGTTGTGAGAAACTCACCTTCTGGAAACATGAACCGAATCTCTCTTTCCGAGGCAGCGAAGTCGTTGCTCCCGTGAAGGGCGTTCCGAAGCTCATCTGTACCGTAGATCGCCCTTAGACTAAAGCAAAGGAAGGATGTTCTTCTTCCGCTCTGACAACCTTGCCTTACTTTACAGGAAAGCATTCTTTCCCTCTACATTATCTGGAGAAGGGGGAGCCACATGCGGAGATCAGAAGACTACTTCGGAGTGGTTTTGTCCTTCCAGCTCATGGGTCCTGAGTTCAAATCTGAGTCAGCCCACTTGCAGCAAGCACTTTACTTGCTGAGCCCATTTGCTAGCCTTTTTCTATTTGTTTGCTTTTAGACAGGGCATCACTAATCTAATTTTAAGCTTTGCATTTTACTTAGAGACAGTCAAATTAATACATTTATGAATGCTGGTGAATACACTGTGAAGAAGGGTGTTTTGTGAGACGTGAAAAGGAGATATAAAATAAAAAAGAAATAACTGTTTCATTTCTAGACTAGTGATCATGCTGAAATTTTGGATGCTGAAATTTTGGATTTTATTTATTTATTTATTGAGACAAGGTCTCACTGTATATCCTTGGCTAGCCTGGAATTTGCTATGTAGACCAGATTAAACTCTCAGGAATTTGCCTGCCTCTGTTTCTCAAGGTATGCACCATCATATCCAGATAATAAATCTAAAAATCTCTCTAATTTTCCCATTAAAAATCCTACCTCAGGATCAGTGAGGGGCTCAGCTGCTAGACACACTTGCCACCAAGCCTGATGACCTGAGTCTAACCCTGGGCCCACATGGTGGAAGGAGAGAGCTGACTCCCACTAATTGTCCTCTGACCTCCACACATGTGCAAGGCACACAAGCCCACACATTAAATAAATAGAGTGTAATGTCAAAAATCCCACTTCATAGCCATGTGTCATGGCTCACGCCTGTACTCCCAGCATGGGGGAGGTGCTGAGATAGGAGGGCCATCACAAATTCAAAGCTAGCCTGGGCTACATAGTGAATTACAGGCCCACATAGGCTACAGAATAAGACCAAAAAAAAAAAAAAAAAAAAAAAAAAAAAAGGGTGATACGAGTCAGAGGCAGGCAGATCTCTGTGAGTTCAAGGTCATCCTAGTCTATAGAGCGAGTTTCAGGACAGCTAAAGCAATACAGTGAAACCCTGTCTCAGAAAAAAAAAATTAATAAATCCTACTGTAGAGAGGCAGTGTAATGCAAGGCTAAAGAGCCATCAGTGAGACTCTTTGATGCTTTCTATAGCATTTGGTACTAAGATAGCACTGAGGAGGGAGGGATGGAGAGATGCTCAGTGGTTAAGAGCATTGACTGGTCTTTCAGAGGCTCTGAGTTCAATTCCCAACAACCACATAACTCAGAGCATCTGTAATGAGATCTGATGCCCTCTTCTGGCTTGCAGGGATACTGCAGACAGAAGACTATACACAATAAATAAACACATCTAAAAAATGAAGATAGCACAGAAATGGAGAGACTGTCCAATCACTGCCTTACACTAGAGGGAAGTTCCTTTAAGAGAACTTCCACATGAGGGAAAACCTCACTTCAAGAGAGATGGGGTTTGGTGAAGCTTTTTGTTTGCTTCTTTTGTTTTGTACTTTAGAAAGACTTCAATCCCTTAAACCACTCCAGGGGAATTACCTGTCCGGGTGTGTCTCCTTGGCTACTAAGCTATTAGCTGGTCCCAGAAGTTCTTTCCAGTAAGAGATGGCATTATGTCTAGCTAATATCATAGCAACAAGAGGTCCAGAACTCATGTAAGCTGTCAAGTTTGGGAAAAACATTTTCCCGTACTGTTCCACATAAAAGTTACTACAGTGCTCAGGGCTCAGATGTAGTTTTCGTCTCTGTAAACAAAACAAAGTCAACGAAAGTGACCCCTCGATAAAAGCTCATTCAGTCATCTACAACATGCCAGGCATGGTGGCTCATGCCTATAATTATCTTTTCATTATTACACAGAAATAATATTTAAGTTAAGTATTTCAGAGGAAATATTTATCTCACTTAAAAAAAAAAAAGAAAAACTCCCTGGGCTGATGAGATGGCTCCATGGGGAAAGGTGCTTGTTGCCAAGACTGAAGTTCTAGATTCAATCCCCAGAATTACATGTTGGGAAGAGAAGAGAGAATTGATTCCCCAAGTTTTTAGACTGAAACACATATACTGCACATGTGCACGTATGCGTGCGTGCACACACGTAAATATACACACATTTTAAAGAGAGTGTTTGCTGAGCAATCATGAGGAACAGAGTTTGGATCCTGGCACCTCCATTACAAGAGGCCATCCACCAATCGCCTGTAGCTCCACCTACAAGGGGTTTGAAGTCCTCATCTGGCATCCATGCACACACGTATAGGCACACATACACACAGTCACCCAGAGATCAAGGCAAAGCTTGGTCTGCACAGTGAGGTCAGCTAAGGCTGCAGAGTAAGCCATTGTCTCTAAAAACAAAAAACTGGAATATTAGTTTAACTGCAGGTATTATAGGAATATTCTGATAAACTCTGCAGCGGACTCCCAGGAACTCTAACTCTCACATGACCCCTTGCTCATCAGTACTCCACCGCCCTCCCCCTCACCAGTATACAAGCTGTTCATTCGTTTTGAGGTGAACTCTTACTACACGTAAGACTGTGTAGTCCTGTTTGTCTGCCTGTGTACTCTGCAGCCTCACTCTCCCTAGACACAAGTATGCCCTGCAGCCATGCTGCGGGTTTCTTAGCTCCTGTCGAATAATTTTAAAAATTTAGAGTCCATCTCTTAAGTTGATACAAAAATTAACGATCCTATGGGTTGCTTTAAAATGAAATCCGGTGAAAACTCTTTTGTTTGAGAAACAGTGATTGATACCCAGTATGTGGAACAGAACTCAATTTATGATGGAGGAAAGGCTGCCACCTGCTGGAGAGAGAGACGTTTTCAGCGCTTACAAACATACCCTCAAGCTGCAAGAGTCAAATTCCTTGGAACAGAAAATAGGCTGGTGGTTACCAGGGGCTGGAAGAGATGGAAACACTCCTCGACCCCCCTTAAAAGTAAGTTCATAGCTTCAGGTTGAAAAATCACAGATGAATAGTGGTGAGGGTCACAAAATGTACCTAATATCACAGCACTGTACCCTAAAAATAGTTAAATGGTACAATCGATGTAATATAAATCTCGAAAAACAAAGCAAAGGAAAGTTGAAGACACCGCAGTAGTTGACAGAGTTAACAGTAGTGGCGGCAGTTTACATGAGCCATAGCCTCCCTGGTGTAATGTCCACTGCTGACAGACGTTTCCACTGACTTTTTGTTTTGAGACAGGGTCTCTCTGTGTAGCTCTGCAACTCACAGAGATTCACTTCCCTTTGTCTTCAGAGTGCTTGGATTAAATGTGTGTACCACCATGTCCAGCCCTTGAATTTTATAATAAATAAAAGCCACTTGGTTACTAAGCCTATCATTTTTTCAAATATGGACTTAAGTATTAGAGAACTTGCTCAGTGAGTAAGTCTTTTGCTGCTCAAATGTAAGGATGTGGGTTTGGATCCCCAGAATTGCCCTAATGCCCGGCTTCATAGTGTGGGTTTGTAATCCCTACACACCAGTGGGAGAGGGCAGCTGGGCACAGAAGGCCCCTCAAGAAGGTCATGGCCCAGTTAGCCTCAATTACATAATAGCAAACAAGAAAGCCTATTTCAGGCAAGGTGAGGGCCGGACCTGAGTTACACATAAACACATACCACACAAAGATAAAGTCTCTTTTTTTTTTTTTTTAAAAAGGAGTTAAGTTCGAGGCCAGCCTGGTCTACAAGAGCTAGTTCTAGGACATGGATTAAAAGTATGTGCCGCCATAGTCTGGCATACTTTAAACATCTTAAATATATAGGGTACAGAAGCCAGGGCTCTCTCTCACCACTGTAAAAGTTCCTTCTTTGAAAAACTAAAACAAAATAAAAATGAAAAACCTACGAAATTTAAAATTAAGCCAGGCGTAATGGCACAGTGTGTGCAATCCCAATATTCAGGAGCCTGCAGTAGCAGGATTTGAAGCCACGAGGGCTACATAGTGAAATCCTCTCAGACAACAAAATACAACAGGTGATGAGCACCTTAGTCCCAACTCAAGTGAAAGGAGAGGTGGAGAATCAGTGTGTGCTGGGGGATATCCGGAGCTAAATAACTAAACAGCAAGACTCCCCCCTTCTCAGGGGCTCATGTAGCCCAGGCTAGCCTCAAGCTCACTATGTAGCTGGGGATGACCTCATTAAAGTTGGGGTCCTCCCTTTCAATGCCCTGAATACTGGGCTCCAGGCCGTATGCAGGTGCTGGCAATGGAAGTCATGGTTTTATACTTGCAGGCATTCCCCCAGCTGAGGGGCAGTCTCAGCCTGAGAACATGGGCTTTTAAGTATCATTGTTCCCCAATTGTTTGCTTAGGCATTTTTTTCCTTCTTGAAGAAGTGACAAACATGATTTAATATTTTTTTGGTTAGGGGAGAATGGTAGGGATTGAACCCACAGCCTCATGCTTGTTAAGCCTGTGTTCTACCTCTAAGCCACACCCTAGCCCCACCTATAAGTTTAATTTTTTTTAATATTTGGATCCATTTAGAGTTATCCCAGAATAAAAATACTCAATTTTCTTCACAACATTTATTAAAGACTTTGTGTTCATCTGAATATTTCTTGTGCCATCTCAACTGTGTGTGTGTGTATGTGTGTGATATGCATGTCTGTGTTCATGTGTATACACACATGTATATGGGGATGCAGGCGCATATATGTGGAACCAGATATCCACATTGGGGACTAGTCTCAGTTTCTCATCATCTCAGATCTCCCAACTGAACCTGAATCACCAATTTGGCAAGACTAGTGGGCTCAAGGGCTCCAGAGGTCCTCCTGCCCTGCCTCCCACTACACAGTTGCTGGGGATTCAAACTCAGATCCCTGTGCTTGCTCAGCAAACACTATGACACAAACCCCTCTCCAGCGCAGTTTTCTTTATCTTAAAACACTGACAAAATAGATAATGATGATAATCTGATACTATATAATTTTTGTTGTTGCTGTTTTGAGACTGGGTCTCTCTGTGTAGCTCTGGCTGTCCTGGAACTCTGTAGACCAGGCTGGCTTCAAACTCACAGAGATCAGCCTACCTCTGCCTGCTGAGTGCTGTGATGATTAAAGGCATGGGCCATTACAGCTGGTCCTATATAAAAAAAAAAAACATTTAAGATAGGGTCTCACTGTGTAGCCCTGGCTGACCAGAAACTTACTCTGTAGACCAGGCTGGCCTTGAACTCACAGACATACACCTGATTCTGTCTCAGCAGTGCTTGGAGTAAAAGCACCACACTAACCTATATACATTTAAGAGAATAAAAAACTAGTACAAGTAAAATTTAACAAAATATTTAAAATGTTAAGTTCTATTTGATATATTCATACATTTTGTCTTCAGTTGGAGACCTTGTCATACTAGAGGACAGTTTTGAACTCTGTGAAGGCCAAGATGGTGGGAAACTCTAGTCTTACCCTACCTATGGCTGAGATCACAGGCTTACAGCACCACCTCCAGAGCCTGGGTCCTCTGTACCCCAGGCTGGCCTAGGACTCCCTGTGTAATACAAGCTGACTGCTTAATGTCCTCTGGAAGGCCTGGCTCCATGACCATGTTTGTCAACTGCAGAACAAATATTCATCTTAAAACATTAAATGTTTGGGCTGGAGAGATGGCTCAGAAGTTAAGAGTACTGACTGCTCTTCCAGAGGTCGAGTTCAATTTCCAGCAACCACATGGTGGCTCACCACCATCTATCATGAGATCTGGTGCCCCCTTCTGGCATGCAGGCAAATATGCAGACAGAACACTGTATATGTAATAAAAATAAGTAAATATATTTTTAAAAAAATTAAATGTTTGCTGGGCAGTGGAGGCCAGCCTGGTCTACAGAGTGAGTTCCAGGACAGTCAGGGCTACACAGAGAGACCCTGTTTAAAAACCAACAAACGAAAACCCTAAGAACACTAGAGAACTTAACTATGCACAGGATTATTGCACATAACTTAGAAGGGATAAGTAGATTCTGATTTATTGACCCAGAACTTTACCAAAGAGACTCCATGAGGAAGTTAGAGAGGATCACTTCATCTTATGGGGAAAAGCTTTCAAACACAGAGAAACCCTGGGAAAGGACAATGTAGTAAGGAGAAGTTAAGAGAAAGAAAGGGCAATTTGGCTTCTTTTGGGTCTTATTCTGTATCTTTTGGAAGTGTGAAAAACTTACCTATTACAGGTAACTTGTTTGTTTTTGAGACATGTCTCACAGAGCTAAGGCTGACCTGTCAACTCTGAAGTTACCGAATAGCTGAACTCCTGATCCTCCTGCCTCCACCTCCCTGGTACCGAGATTACAGGCATGAGCCTACATGCCCAGCTTACATACTGAAAGACTTTAGTTTGCAGAGCAAGGATATAGGAAAGGGGAAGAATAGTTCTTGCAAGCAGAATATAGAAAATCACAAAGAATGGACGTGGACATGGGTGGAAAGATCAGGAATTATGAGAACAAGAAAGGTTACTATGGCGATGGGGCTAGTGGTTATATGCCAGGCTGATCTTGTTAAATAGGGCTAGTTACAGCCAAGAGAAAGCCAGAGTATGAAAGAAGTTTCTCACAGGTCTTGGCCCACAAGGAAATAGGCCCCCAACCCTGGAACAAATGGTCCGAGGTAAACAGCCCTGTCTGGGTCACACATGGCCAACGGACAGTCTGGGGACTCTCTAAGGTACATTCTATGGGTTTTCCTTTAAAGAAGAACAGGTCACACCTGGGTGATCTCTCAAACATGAGATAATACTTTGTAATCAATCACCTTGTGCCCCATGCATGTATGCTGATCTGCAGTTTGTCTCTATAAAAAGGAGCCTGAACCCTTTGAGGGGTGTGCAGCTTTGCCCGAGATTGCTGACACCTGGGGGAATGCACTCATTCAATAAATACCTCTTGCTTGTTGCATCTCCTGGTTTTGGTGTTTGTGTCGCAGGGCTCTCCCATCGGCCCAAAAGGACCCCGGAACTGGGGTCTTACAATACAACCTTTATATTTAGAAATGTAAACTCAATGTTACCACGGATCTAAATGGGTGGGTACATTTATATAAGTATAGTGCAAACTAATAAAAGAGAAGCCAGAAGTTACCTGAATGATGGTGAATCCAGATCTGAGAATAATGTCGCGTATCTCCTCCTCTTTGTCAACAATATCTGGCTTGATAAGGGCTAGGGTTTTTTCTACATATATCTGAGGCAGGGGCATTGACACTTCCATTCTGGCGTTTCCCGGGATAATTTACTAATCTCCTGACCAGGTATCCACTGCAATGACACTCGTCCTCGTACCAAATTCAACCTGTGGCAATATTTGGTGCTAGGTTTGATTAATTTGTGAAAGTGGAAACTGCCACGTTTCCCGACCAGCAGTCCTGCAAGAATATGACTTGTACAGAGCCCAAGCTGAGCCCTGGCCGCCTCGGTGCGGCAGGACGATGGACAGCATCCGTGCCGCTCTCCAGGGGTGGGGGAAGGCCCTAGCCCGCTGCCCTAGCGAAGGGCCCCCACCCCTCGGGGACCACTTTATACAGGCCTAGGTGTGACTGCAAGGCAGGATCCCCGAGTCCTTAGGAACCTAAATCTCCAGGCTGAACCCTCCCAGCTCTCACCTCCGTTCAAGTGTTGTCAAAACCCGTTGCTAAGAAACCTGAAGCTGGTTTTCCAACGGTGGCTGCAGAGGGCCAATCCCAGCAGCATTTTTCAATATAGTTTGATTTGATCTTGGGCAACAATTAGCCATGAGAATTTTAGAATTTGTGCGTGCGCACGTGCATATTTGTGTGAGGTGATGAGATGTGATTGATGTGGAGGTAAGAAAACAACTTCGTTGGTCAAGTGCTTCCGTGTCTGTGGTTTTCAGGGATGAATGCCATGTGGTCTGGCTTGCCTGTAAGCCTCTTTACCCACTGAGTAATAGAGTGCCAGCCCTTCTCTAATTGATCTCCTGCATCCTCCTACGTACTCGAAGAATGCTTGAATTATCCACACTTAGTAAATGAGATAAATCAAACACCTCTCTCCATTCCCTCCCAGACACTATATGAAAGATAAATGTCAAGTTTATCTTTGACATACTCTTTCCTTCCTTTTTGTTTTTGTTTTGGGTTTTGGTTTTTGTTTGTTTTGAGACAAAGTTTCCCTGTATAGTTTTGGATCCTGTTCTGGCACTCACTCTGTAGACCAGGTTGGCCTTGAACTCCTGCCTTTGCCTCCCAAGTGCTGGGATTAAAGGTGTGCACAGTCACTGCCTGGCTCCTTCCTTTTTTCTTCCTTCCTTCCTTCCTTCCTTCCTTCCTTCCTTCCTTCTTTCCTTCCTTCCTTCCTTTCTTTCTTTCTTTTTTTTTTTTTCTTCATGGTGGTGGTATTAGTGCTGGGGTTCAAACTCAGGGACCATGCTAGACAAGCACACAGTCACTGAGCAACATCCCAGTATATACCTTCTTTGTTTTACCACCTGATTCTGTCCCCTCTAGTTCCAGCTTCTTTAATCATTTAAAACTGTCTTTGCAAGATCTGGTGGTACAGTGGCACATACCTCTAATCCCAGAACTCCTTTGGAGGTAGATTTCCAGGAAACCCTGGGTTTTAATGTTTTGAGACCCTGCCTCAGAAAACAAACAAAAACTTTGGTTTGTGAAATATTTATTTATAGAGAATCACTCAATAAAATCACTTCTGAGGCGTTGCAACAAAAATGTGGGCAATATTTACATCATAAATCCAGATCTCAGCACCCCACCCCATAAAAGTATATATCTGCACGCATCATTGACTTCTCAGTAGGGAAGTAAGGTTTATTATCCTTATTAGGAAAAATAATGGAGGAGGATAAGTCTTCAGATCTTCTCTGGCCAGTCTTCAGAAGAGCTATAAACTTGAGAAAGAATCAGACTTGTTGTTCCTGGCTAACAAAACAGGCTTCCTTCATCCACTGGATTAGCTGGTACTCACTCCAGACTACTCAAGTCCTTCCTTTTGTCTAACCAAGTACTCAGCACCTACAGGAGCAAGGCCAGACACAAACCAAGAACCTTAGAGCCACATAGGAGAATGTGCAATTTCATCTATTATATTGGCAAACAGATACAACTACACGTTAAAGTGTGATGCTTCCCTAAAGAGAAATCCTTACATGTCTCCTTCAACTTACAATGTCTTATCCCCCAAAGATGGGAACTATACATGTACATTAGTATTAACAGCTGTAGCAATAAAGTCATGAACATTGGATCCAGCACCTGACTTGCTTTTAGCTTTACAGCTTGGCCTCTGAAAGCAGAAGTTCCCGTTATTTGCTGGTTCCCGGCCATCTTGCTGCTGGCCTTCCCAGATCCTCATGCCACCGTGTATTAAATATGCCAATCCTGAGGGCACACCACTGCTTCAGGTCCTTCGGTCAGCTCTGATGAAGACCTCACACATCAGACTCCAAGCCCACACTCCCTGTTCTTATAGCACTTGTGGCACAGTACCTGGATCTGGTCCAGGACCTCACGCTGCATCTCCACAGCCATATGGTAGACGTGATGGTCAGAGTCATTGTACATCACAGCATTCTGGAACATCAGCATCAGATCCCGCTGGAACTCAGCCATGGTGTGAATGCGACCCTTAGACACATTCCTCTTCAGGGTTGTTAAGTCCATGGGTCTGCAGGAGCAAGAGGGCATCACATCATAGTATGAAAGATCTAATGAACTGGAACCATGAGTCTGAGGACAGCTTGAGCTACACTGAGTTATAAGCCAGCATGAGTAAGACTGTCTCAAAACAAAAGACAGACCAAAACTGTGGTGTCTTTAGCAAGCTCTTTGAGTACTTGTTCTTAGTGAAAACAGCAGCCGCACTGGTTCATTTTGTTTTATTTTTTGTTTTGTCAACTTGGCACAAGTTAGGGTCATCTGGGAGGAGGGAACCTCAACTGAGAAAATGTCTCTATTAGACTGTTCTGTGGGCATGTCTAGAGCATTTTTATTTATTATCATTAATGATGGATGTGGGAGGCCCCAGCCCACTGTAGGTTAGCTGGGCTGTGGCTGTGGTGGCACATGCTTTTAATCCCAACACTTGGGAGGCAGAGGCAGGTGGATCTCTGTGAGTTTAAAGAAAGGAAGGAAGGAAGGAAGGAAGGAAGGAAGGAAGGAAGGAAGTTGAGCAAGCCACGAGGAGCAAGCCAGTAAGCAGCACCCTTCCATGGCCTCTGCACTAGCTCCTGCCTCCAGGTTCCTGACTTGAGTTCCCACCCTGATTTCCCTGGATGATGGAATAAACTTGTAAGATAGGATAAACCTTTTTCTTCAGCAATTTGAGTTTGTTCATGGAATTTATCACAGCAATGGAAAGAAAACTACAAGAGTGGCAAAGACATCAATTTTCATAAAATAATAAAATAGCAGCTGCAGATACCAATCCTTTATAAAGGTCAAGCACTATGTCGAGTTCATTATATGGTAAATTAATCCTCTCAATAAACATACAATGTAGGCATTACTTATCATCATCATCATCATTATCATTATGAAGGCACTGGATATTAAACTGGGTTTTTTTTTTTTAAGTTTTCTTTTTCTTTTTCTTATCTTACATATCTATCCCAGTTCCCTCTTCCCTCCCTCCCTCCCAGGGTAGTGGTTTTCAACCTGTGGGTCAAGACCCCTTTGGGAGTCAAACAACCCTTTCACAGGGGTTGAATATCAGATATCCTGCATATTAGACATTTACATTATGATTCATAACAGTAGCCAAATTATACTATGAAGGAGCAACAAATAATAATTTTTATGGTTGGGATCACCACAACATGAGGAACTGTATTAAATGGTCACAGAGTTAGGAAAGTTGAGAACCACTGACCTTACACATCCTAGACAAGCACCTTCCATTAAGCCTTTATCCAAGCTCTTGATTTTAGAGACAAGATCTTATGAGATTGCTAGGCAGGCCTTGAACTCACTGTCCTTCTGCATTGTCGTAGGGAGTTAGGCTCTCAGGCTGGCTGACACAAGGCCCACTGTTCCTACTGATTTTGAGACAGGGTTTTATTGGGCAAGGTGGCATACCCTTTCATCCTAACACTTGAGAGGCAGAAGCAGAAGGACTATCTGTCTTGCCATTGCTTATGCTGGCCTTCAACTCATGATACTCCTGCCTCATTTTCAGGAGTAAGAATAGGTACCATTATGTTTTCCATTTGACAGATGCAGAAAATGAGGTCTGGGGAGATTACATGCTGCTTTTTTCTGGCTATAACCATGGAGGTGCCAAAGAGAAGAAAAAGGAAGTTCCTGCTGTGCCAGAAACCCTAAACAGAAAAAGAAGAAATTTCAGGGTTGGAGGGAAAAGCTCTTGAAAAGAAATGTTCCCAAAAGATGGCCCAGAAGACACACAGGAAGCTTACTGTGAAAAACCATGCAATCACAAGGAACACACACAGACTGCAAAGGTCAGATGGCAAGAAAGGCTGCCAACTCTATGCACTTTGGAGAAAACAAACTGGCATTTGTCAATGTTGTGGTTTGAAAGTGAGCTATTCCCTAGAGTCCATGCATGTGAACAACTGGACCACAGCTGATGGAGTTGCTTGAGAAGTTTGTGGAGCCCTCAGAAGAAGTATGTCGTGAAGGAGCACATACTTCCTGCTCTTTCCCTGTTTCCTGTGGACCAGCCAGTCTTGTTTCCGCCATCGTACTTTCCCTGACTATATGCCTCGGAACTGTAAGCCAAAATAAACCTTTACCTCTTAAGTTCCTTTTTTGTTGGTTGGTTTTTTGTTTGTTTGGTTGGTTGGTTTTTGTTTTGTTTTGTTTCTGTTTTTTAGACAGGATCTCTCAAAGTAGCCCTGGCTGTCCTGGAACAATATGTAGACCAGGCTGGCCAGAATTCACAGAGATGCACTTACTTTTGCTCCTCAGAGTGTACCATCACACCCAGGTCTAAGTTGATATTTTTTTCTCTGTTTGGTTTAGCTTTTTGAGACATGGTTTTTCAGTGTAGCCCTGGCTATCCTGGAACTCACTCCTAGACCAGACTGGCCTCAAACTCACAGAAATCTGCCTGCCTCTGCCTCCCAAGTGCTGGGGTTAAAGGCATGTGCCACCACTGCCTGGCTAAGTTGATTTTTCCAGAGTATTTTTTAAAATTTATTTTTATTTCATGTGCATTGGTGTTTTTGCCTGCATGTATGCCTGTATGAAGGTGTCAGAGTCCCTAGAACTGGAGTTACAGACAGTTGTGAACTGTCATGTGGGGCTGGGGATTGAACCTGGGTCCTCTGGAAGAATAGCCAGGGCTTTTAACCACTGAGTCATCTCCACAACCCCTTTCCAGAGTATTTTTATCACAGTAACAGAAAGTAACTAAGACAGAAACTGGTACCAGTGGTGGAGCAGTTGCTATGATAAGCCTTACTGTAGAATTCTTAGGTCTTTGAAACTAATTTGGGAGAAGGAAGTGAAAGAGCTTGGGGATTTGGTCTAGAAAAGCCCTTAAATATAACAAGAACTTTATGGCTCCTGTGGTAGGAGTCTGAAAGGCAAGGGAGCAGAGAAAAGTGCAGACTGTAG